TGCCCTCCAGTCAATCTTCGTTTGACCCAAAGTTGATAGCATTTCATTCCCAAAATCATGTCGGAGCTCCCCAGATTCAAAGGTAGAAAATCCTCTTATCACCTCAATATTTTGAAGTGATAATTGCACTCCCTTACACACCCCTGGCCCTTGCACCGCCAACCTAGTACCCATAATCCCCCCATATCCTAGTGTCTTTTTACTTGGCAAACCTAATTTCCTTACCAAGTCTGCTAATATAAAGTTATGACTAGCTCCACAATCGATTAACACTACTACTTCCTCCCCTAAAATTTTTCCTTTTAACTTTCATAGTACGAGGTGGTGTGAGCCCTACCATTGAATTCATCGACAACTCCACCATCTCACCAGCCATTGACTTCTCTTCTCCAATCACCTCCTCCGCTGATTCCTCTACTACCCATTCATCCTGTCGTTCTTCATCACAAACCAATAGCACCTGTAATTCCCTATTCTTGCACTTATGCCCAATGGGGTACTTTTCATCACAGTGGAAGCATAGCCCCTTGTCCTTCTTGGCCTTTAATTCGGATTCAATAAGCCTCTTGAAGAACTAGTTGGCTGAGCCAATTGACGTGGAGGAACGAGGCATCGTCAGCTTAGGATTAGATCTCTAGGGCGTAATCGCGTTACTTCATGGGGACGATAGGTACCAACTGGGCTGGAATTTGCTTTACTCTTTATGGGTCCAGATCCAATAACATGGGCCTGAAGGGCCTGATTTTTCTCTTCAATTCTTTGGGCCAATTCCATTATTTGGTCCAACCCTTTAGGCTACATCACCCTAATCTCGGTCCTAATTTCTGAGTTCAGCCCATTTATGAAGTGGCCTTCTAGGATAGCCTCATAGATATCTCCAATCAATGCTGCTAATATCTCAAATGCAATCCTATATGCTGCTATTGAGCCTTCTTGTCACAGGGCGAGGGATTGCTCCTTAAGGGTTCCCTCCAAAGAAGACCTAAATCAAGCTCGCATCAGTACCTTGAGCTCTTCCCAAATTCACACACCCGTCCTCTTCTACTCCCTTTGATACCAGGCTAGCGCTCCCTCTTCAAAACACAAAACTGCCATCTCTAATTTCTCCCCCTCTGTCAGTTGGTTCACAATAAAATAGCGTTCTGCCCTAAAGATCCACTCATCTGGGTTTTTCCCCTTGAACACCATCTCCAGCTTTCTCCCTTTAGTTTCTAGTCTCCAGTTCCCGCCGACAGCACCTCCCATTTTCTACTAGTCTCCAAGCCTGGTGAAATATCAAAGTGCATAGTGTACTCTGAATCTCTCCCTCCATCTTGTCCCTTTCCTTTTCTCTCTATCTACTTCCTCCCACTTCGATCTCATGAAGGTGAACTGCTCTGAAATAATTACCATGTTTTTCTCCATATTTTGCACCCTCTGCAACTCCACCTGCATCCATTCCATTCCATGTTGCATTCCTTCCAGCTGCTCCTGTAGTTTCTGATGAGTCTCTTCTAAACTCCCCACTCGATCTACCAAATTCACCATCAGGATTGATGGTTCTAATACCAGTTGATAAGAACATGTTTCTATCAATGACCTTTCCGGCTCTACAAGACAAGATTAAAGATATAGAAACCAGTAACAAGAGTATTGGAATGGAAAATAAGTTTGTATTTCGGCAAAAGTGGTAAAAATGATGGACAGACTCTGAGAAGTACATCAAAAATATAAATCTGCTTGATGAAATACAATGAAAAATGCTTGAAGAAATAAGATGATAAATGGACATTCGAGAGGTCCAATTCTACCCCTAGGAATTACCCAATTTTTCCTCCCCTTCACTAAAACCAACTCCCTTATTTATAGGTTGTTCTGCTTCTAGATCATTCGCCCAACAGATTATGTAACTGTGCATGTGGCCTCCTTCCTGCATTCCCTTTTCTGCCCTTGCCCCCTTGTTGCGCCTTTGGTATGTAATCTGGACTGCAGCCTATCAATCTGCTTTTCCTTTTACTTTTTCTTTTGAGATGAAAAGCTACTAAAAATCTAATAATTGCCATAAAGAAACTAAGAACTTCAAATTGATTCCCAAAATTTGCCCTAATATGCGCTGGATGTCCAAGTGAATCAGAAATTCTCCAAACAAATTACGGCATGAAAGTGTTTGAAATGTGTCTGATACTGATAACTAGCCCGGGCAGTACTTCAGTAACTTAATCGTAAGTTGGAAGATACATGAAAAATCAAAGACAGTCTAGCCTTGCCTTTTATGAGAAAGGATGAATGCAAATGCTGATATAGGATGATTACAGATGATCATGATAACGAATAAAAACCGAACTAAGTACCATAATCAGTTAAAGCTCATAGGAACATGTTAGTTGTTGAAGCAAATAGCAAAGACTTCAAGACACAAACATTTGTATTTTGCTGCTCCAAGAGAAGGGGAATGAGATTAAAACCTATAATACCGGTGCCAATGAGAGAAAAACAAAAAAAAAAAAAAAAAACAAAAAGATCACACTAAAGAGAAATATATTCAAAGACAACCAAAGAAGTTCTCCAAGTAGCTCAAATATTCTTAAATCTAGTGACCTGTTAGTGATACAAGGATAGGATATTCCAAGTGAAAAAGAAAATAAGTAGCCCATCTGATAATTAGGTGAATAAAGCAAATTTTGGACAATAGTAATCTTAGGTATATATATTTTTTTTGAAAAGTTAATTCCCTGCTTGCACCAATCAATTAGGACATAAGATAGAGTTACCATTAAAATATTTTAACACGAAATCAAGAGTATGATGGAATCCCCTACTTCAACTAATTTGTAACAGTTGAATGGATGCTAAATGGTCTGTCAAGGACAGAAATAGCAATCAAATGCTGTAGTAGACACTCAAGATCAAATTAATTGGTATTGTAATGCAGATTTTTAATTGAGAAATTAGTAGCAAAATTATTGAACTGAATAACAAGGATAACAGCTCCAAGCAATTCAAGAGGCCAGATCTCTCCTAATTGGCTCAACCAACTACTCTATGTTGCATACCCCAAATGAAACGTTGCCACTAGCATGAAAGTCGATCTATTACGACCAGCGCGGTTGTTCGTATTTCATTTTCTTCTTTCAAGCCTTAGAAAGCACTCACTGAGTTACTTACGGAATCTCAAATCTCTCTCGCTTCGACGCCTATACAATTTATGGCATTAATCCCCACACTACCCCTTCCCCTAAAAGAATGTGCTTCTCAATTATTTTGGATCCTTCTAAGGTATGTAGACTTGATGGGAGTTTATCATTACTCGCCCCCCTGAAATTCACCTTGTCCTCAAGGTAAAAATCATGGTCAATTCCCAAAATTCTATAAAATCGAACTAATTTCAGTGCCAGGCATGTAACGACTAGTGCTGAAAAGTGATAGCTCAAACAAAAGTAGTTAGCAGATCGATTAATTACTAGTATATGGTCCAAGAAAATCCCATACCCAGTTGCACCCTTTGCAGGTTTTCCAACAAATGAAACTGGCGAATTGGGGTACAATGGTGGAAAGTCCTATCATTGATCAACTCCGCGACCTGCTTTCCTTTTGCAACTATCGAATTAATTAATAATCCTAACGTATCAGTTATCATCCACTTCCACATCATTGTTGGCATTAAAAATCCTCCGAATTTTGTCGCCACCTGCCCATCCAAATCCATTTTCATCGATTTCCCACACTATTTCTCCTGTCTTCTATTATCACGAATAAGGTGGCTGATTTTTTATATTAGGTAACCTTGGTAATAGGCTCCTTCACTTTATTTAGGCCTATTATGTCTTGGACTTGATTAAATGAAATTTTGTAGTTTACTTGTTGGGCCAGCTTCCTGTCAATGTCCAGACCCATTAAATCCAATAATTTCCTTTCCTTCCTCCTCCTTTTTCAGCCCATTAATCACAGTGTCTTCCATCATCCTTCCTCCTCTTTTTCAGCCCATTAATCACGGCATCTTCCATCATCACTTCAGAATTTGACAGCAATAGAGCTGCAAGTACCTCAGAAATCGACATTTCGAGTTGACGACTTCGCGCCCCTGCCTTCCCTAATTCCTCCATGCGATTCCGATCTTCTTTACTCACTTCGATTTCTTCAATTTCTGGTGGGATTTCAAAATTAAAGGTGGGCTCCGACGAAGTGACTGTGACCTCCTTTTCCTTCCTGGTTGGCTCCTCCTGGCGTGCATGATGCAGCTATTTACTCCAGCTTCCTCCAATTTTGGGGGAATTTTAGAAGTGATGATGAGCTCCAGTGACTTTTCTATTATCCCCTTCTCATGCCTCTCTCGTTCCAATCCTCCCTCTTCTTTTATCATCAGATCAAGCTTCTTCATCATCCTAGACATCGCTCTTTGAAATTCAAATTTCATTCCTCCATGCTCTTCTTGCAGTACATCGATCTTAGTTTCCAAATGATTAACTCGATCTTCTAATTGCTTTTCTTCCTCAAATGAACTGTCCCAAGACCAGAATGATTGTTCTTACCATTTTGATAGAATCCCCTACTTCAACTAATCCATAACACTTGAATGGATGCTAGATGATTTGTCAAGGCCAGAGAAATAGAAATCGAATGTTGTGGTAGACACTCAAGGCCAAATTAATTGGTATTGGAATGCAGATTTGTAATTGAGAAATTAGTAACAAGATTATTGAACTGAATAACAAGGATAACAACTCCAAGCAATTCGTGAGGCTGGATCTCTCCTAATTGGCTTAACTAACTACTCAATATTTTGCATACCCCAAATGAAACATTGCCCCCCTATTTATAGGTTGTTACAATTTATGGCATTAATCCCCACACTACCCCTTCCCCCAAATGAATGTTCTTCTTAATTATTTTGGATCCTTCCAAGGTATGTAGACTTGATGGGAGTCTATCAGAGTATAGGACAAGACATGGAAGGGAAAAAAGGAGTCAAAGCACAATATGCTAGGGAAGAGAACATAAGAAAGAAAAGAAGCAGTACTTACATTCAAGACATCCGATTATATCCATGATCAATTCATCCCCAAATATTTTCTCAAAAATCTGGGGACTATTTAGTGAAACTGCAAAGAAAACACATGAAGATAATTAAGTTGATGGAATCACGAAAACATCTAAAAACATAATCCTACAGAACAGCAAGCCCACTTACTGATTCCTCTAACTAATTTGAAAATCAAGTGAAGACCATCAATATTTTCCAAATCATCACAAATTCTAAACAAGTCCACCAGCTTTCTGAAAAAATCTCGCTGCATTACCAATAAGCTTCTATTAACAGATGATTACATTAGAAAGGCACGAATATAACATATGAGAAAAAATAACAGTGCTTAGAAACAGAATGATTGTGACCTCCTTGAAAGGGAAAATAATACAAGGGAACCAATACTAAATACTTAAAAACATTAGATATCAAAGCCCAATGGATTCATTTATGCTACTAGCTTAGTTCCTTGGCTAAAACGCAGGATACAATTTATCTCACAACTCCAACCTAAATGAATTTCCTGAAGCAAGGAACTCTGCATTAAGGGCTGATGTTCTGTTATCCAACGCAAATACAAAACTATCCTAAAATGATAACTTGCATAGTTGCTCCCAAAATTGGCTACTAATAGATAAATGGAGGTGTCAATGATATACAATCATACGTATTGATACCATGGTGATACACTAAAGTGAGGCATATCCGTCAATAAACCACTTTCCGCAAATATAGAAGTCATGAATCTTCACAACCAAAAAAGATTGAGAATGCTTACATCATGTAGTATGAGTTCATTAACGCGCAATTGATCTGCAATTCCACTCTCAACTACAGTCTGCAAAAGGTGAATAGGTGAATAATCTTTATATAGGTAAAGAATGAACAAATCAAAAACTCAGCTCAACTTCATCAACAAGAAGAATACAGAGAATTACGAAGATTGTAATAAGATGCAATGAAGTGCCACAGCTACAAACAATAATAATACACTGGAAAAACATGAAAAAGTAAGAAAAAAGATATCCGGGAGGTTATCAAATTAATATTTTGGTGAAGTTCTGGTGAGCCAAAAAAGTGGGTAAAACTAGCAAAGATTGTCGTGAAATCGATTGGCGAAATGTTCAGGGTGCACGCATAATGGATCAAAGTACATCAGTCTCATGCAAAAAAATAAATAAATAAATAAAATTAAAAAATATATAATAATAATAATAATAATTAGGGAACACAACATTAAAATCACAACACGAGACTCTATTGGATGAGTATTTGCAGTGGACAGATGGAAAATAAAAGAGAGAGAGAGAAGACAAGAAAGGCACCTTAAGTATCAAAGGGAGAGTAGATAGCTCAACTGGAGGCAACTCTCTCAACCCATTATTGACATTATGGTATGTCTCATCTGAGAATATACATAATGCAACCTCAAACAACAGTTCAATTCCAGATTATACCCAACTTAACCATTTCAAATAGTTAAAAAGCAGAAACTTGTAGAGAAATTTTTAGACCTGATCAACGCTTCCATCTATCCTTAACCAAAAGAAAACTTTTAAAGAAGCATGACACACACAAAAATAAAGATAGTTGCTTCACTCCTAAACATGCACAACTAACAATAACAGCATATCTTTGCCATTGCGCTTTTAAAACATGTATCCAGTTATCATTACGTCATTCAATTTCTAAAACTAGGATAATAAGTTAATTAGTACATTTAAGTACCCAAAACCCTATCATTCCAAAACCACATGAAGGGATTTACAAAGAAAGAAATCAATGAAGATGTACTGCCCAATTTCTTCTAAAAATAATAGAGAAATACTGCAAACACTTACTACTAAGAGAGCTAAATTGTATATTCCTTTGCACGGTACATATATGGTCCCTGCATATGACAAAAGTGTACCGTGGAAAAGTGTTATTATCTAATACAGGGAAAGAAAGAGAGTTTTAATTGCATAAAGAAACGAGCTATATCTGATACTAGCCATATGTAAGAGCAACCAGTCATCTCCTGGAAGCTAAGGGCCAATTCAGTAGAGAACTTTGGATCTCTCCACGATATAATTGTGTCTGAAGATACAAGGTGCATTGCATATAAATAGTAAGCTAGGAAAAGCTAAGAAAGTGACAGTTAAAGGAAATTTCATAAGGAGAAAACAATGTATGACATAACATACCTTCTTGCTTTCGATATATATCTTGTGAGCTGATCCGGTGCAATAATAATGTTTCATTGTCTTCCTCATCAATAACAAACAATCCCAGATCTTCAGATCTCTGTCCCACAAGTCACAGTATTTCAAGTGCAGGAGATAAATATGAAATGATTTCAATTATCATATTAGAAAAGATTAGTATATAATACACAACATAAACAAGTTTAGTAAGAGAAGAATCCAAAAAGGGGTCAAACCTCCAGATAATCAACATTAACATGGCCAGTTCCTTGGTCATCCCATCTCCCATCCTCATTCAGGCGGTATACCTTAACACGCTGAAATTAACACCAAAAGAAGTGAGAACTCTGAGATTCATAAAGTCCAATCGTGATAATAATGTAAAATGGATGCAAAAGTTCTGCACAGATCTACCAGCAAATGTGGTTGACTCAGAAGTTCATCTATTATATATTTAATTTTAAAATTAAACAGTCATAGCCATCTAACAGTACTTCTATAACAAGGAATTGAACTGAGATAACGGTGTGCATCTTAATTTGTTGTATCCTGACAGGTAAATTCCTGCCTCTAGCTTGAGTTTAACATATTATTCTTTTTTATAATAAGACAATATTACACATGATAGGGCCAATGGAAGTCCACTGTTGAGAGAAAAAGCATTTCAATTAGATATATCGATACTATTAAGGACGTGTAGGAAGAAATAGTTACAAGTGTCGAGATTTAGTCGCAGTAATAGTAGAATTTCTCTATCAGTATAGTCTTTTACCAAGTTTCGGCCTCAAGTCCTTAACTTTTTGCCTTGTTCATGGACAGGTTAATATATCATATTCAAGATAATGTCCTATGATGCACAGTATTATTTAAGTGTATGAGCTTGGTTAATTAAACTAAAAAGGGTTAAGGACTTGTTCGAGCCCATTAAATTGGAAAAATGCATTTTCATGTGGTAGATTGATGGAGAATGTGTTATTAAAAAATAAGGAAAATTTTTGGATCTTGTGTAATATTATTTTACTGAAAAATGTGTGATTGAAAAGAAGTGAGAAAAAATGTATTTTGGGAAAAATAGGAATCAAACAAGGCCTAAATCATAAGATAGAACTTTGGAGCAGTACTTCAAAATATAAAATGTTTAGCTGAGTAGAACCAAGCCACGATACATGAAACGCTATTTGATTAATTGTAAGAACAAGGATAATAAAGAAGTTACTATATAGAGAATCTTGTCATCCTAAAAGGCTAAGAAGCACCGACACAACGACAAGTGTCCAACACGTATGTTAACACACGATTTTTCAAAAAAATTCAACTCGATACGTCATCTACACGTTGATTAAAATACTATTTTTAAATTAATAATCTAGAGTATTAAATTTTTTTATATTTATTTTTGTCTAGTATGATTGAAAAAAGAAAGAGATTTGGCTTCCTTCACAAGTTTGATTTTTAATTAGGCTAAAATGGTTAATTATAGTGATTTAAAAGTACCCATCTTTTCAGATTAAAATACTACCTTTTGTTTTTGAATTGAGGGTAAAATGGTAGTTCTATCGTTAAAAAAATTGAGGTAATTAATTTCTTTCATTTACAATAAAGCCAAAAATGCCTCTTCACTTATTCTTTAACAAATTAGGGCTTCTTCCATTCTTTCTTCGATTCACACCACAGCAACAGCCCTTCAATAGATAAAGTTTCAGCAGCCTGACTTCTCTCTTCCAGAACAAGTTCGCAGAGCAGCCCTCACCTTATTCAGTTCTTCATGGCCAAAAACCACCACAAGGGACTGTTGATGCTTTGTACTTCACAGCTAAAAGGTGATATCCAGGTTTGTATTAACAAAAAAGGAGAAATTGAAGGAGATTTATTGCATAGGATTAGAGCAAATTGGATGAAATGGAGATGCTAAACCAATTCTCTAGGACGAAAGATCCTTGCAAGGTTAAAAGGTGATAGTGATTAGGCCTACTATGTTCTATAGCACCGAGTATTCGGTTGTTAAATATCAAAATACTTTGCCCTTGTTTGAGCCCCATTCTTCTAAAAATTTATTTTTTCAAAACTCATTTTCAACCATACATTCTTCAATCAAATAATATTACAGGCAAACCTAAAATTTTTCCTTAATATTTAACCACACATTCTCCATCAATCTACTATTCAAAATGCATTCTTTCGAGGCTCAAAAAAGGGCTTAGAAAATGAATGTAACCTAAACGAGAAGTCTAGAATGTATGAACATACTAATATCTGCAACATTAAGTAAGGGGATAATTGCAGCAGAGGCTCCAAACCTTTAAAACATTAGTAGATTTCCCCCAAACCTTTAATTCGTTACAACCATCATCCCAAACCTTTCGAAACGTTGCGGCAGAGGCCCTTTTGAATGATTTAGATCCAAATGCCTATTAGTTGACTAAAAATTTTGAATTTGACCATATTTTTAAAAGAGTAAAATAGTGACTTTCCATTTACTACATTAAAATAAGTTAAATATTAAATTAGAAAAAGTAAAAAAAAAAAAATGTAGATCTTCAACCTCCCCCAACCCATCGCCATTGGCCACCGTCACCTATTGCCACTCTAAAATTCATCCATCTCCCTATCTCCATTGACTGTCATCAACAACCACTGCCATCGCACTTCAACTCTTTTCAATTTCACCATTTTTTTAATGCATGCTCAATAAGGACTTGCCTGAGTTTTTGCATCAATGGGTAGGTTAAATACTAGATTTCCAAGAATTGGAGTTCTGAATAGTAAGAAGCTATAACAATTTCAGCCCCCTTGGAACCATAATCCAAACTAGAATTTCTCCCCCAAGAAAGGTTAGATAGCAATCTGCTGATGTAGAAATCAATCATAGATGAAGTCAAAATCCCTACTACACTTCTCCAAAATTTTTGACCTCTTACTTTCTCCAAATATTTTTTGATCTCCAGTGGGTATTGGAGCCGTCGGTTTGTGCTGGATCCGACGATTTCCGTTGGTGCCGATGGTAAGAGATGGGTGGGGTGATTCTTAGATTGGAGGGATTTTGTGGTTGGGTGTTGGGGTCGCATAGGGTGGAGGGAGTGGAGATAAGGTAAAAGAAAATGTTTTCTTTTCTTTTAATTTTTATTTATTTTTATTCAATTATCCCTTTATTTAATTATTTTAATAGATATTTACTATTTCGCCCTTTTTTAATTAATTAAAATATGGTCAAACTAAACTTTTTGGTCAACTGACGAGGAAATGGATGAAAACCGTCCAAAAAGGCCTCCGTCGCAACATTTCGAAAGATTTGGGGTGACAGTTGCAACAAATTAAAAGTTCAAAAAAAGTTTGCTAGCGTTTTAAAGATTTGGGGCCTCTGCTGCAATTATCCCAATAAGTGCAAGGTAGCGTGACCTCTTTCAAAAATGTAAGGAGTGCAAGCGAAGACAATTTCCTTCAGCTTCTAATTGTGTTGAACTTGTGGAACAATATTGAACATTCACAAAATATCCTACGGGAAGAGTGAAATTAAACAACCCAAATCTAGGAGATAATCATAACAAGTAGGGTTGGGCAAATCTCCCGAACCCGAACCAAATCGAACCGAACCCGACGGTTCTTGTCAAATTAAATACCCGAACGGATATCTGAATTGAGAACCGACGGGTACGGTTCGGTTCTCAGTTCTAGACCAAGAACCGAAGAACAGAATAAGAGCCGAATATTTCTATTTTTTTTTTATATTGAGAAAATCAAATTATTTTAATTTTAATTTTTTCTAAACAAATTAACAAATTAACGATTTCTAAATCCAAATTTTTAGCCCAATAATTTGTTTCATTTCTAATTTTTTAATTTTGGCCCAATTACCCATTTTATTGTTTCATTTCTTAACCAAGCAAGATCAAATCCACTAAATAACCCTAAACACCAACACTAAAGTGCATAACATTGTCTCGACTCTCGCACTCACTCTCGCAGTCTCGCTAATATTCCAAAACCTATACAATCATCGGCCGACACTGTGACCTCCGATCGAAGCTGTGACCTTCGCCAACCGAAACGTAAGTAGCGATCATTTGAACAAGGTAGTTTACTAGTCTTTGACATTTCAAAACCATTGAATGTATCATTAATTGTATTTATATAATGTTGTTATAAATGTTAAAAAATTTAATTATAGTACAGAACCGAACTGAACCCGAACAGTTCCATAATTATATTTGGACCCGACGGTTCCATTTACTAGTTACCCGAAAAGTTCGGTTTCGAACCGAACCGACCCGCGCCCACCCCTAATAACAAGTTCTACTTTAAGTATAATGTAATAAAGAATTATTTTCTGGTTGAAGTGGCCAACACTGTGCAGATATCGGCAGACAGGTATACTTTCAACTTGACCAATAAGGTACATAAACATAATAAAACATAAGGAAACCAAATTCTACTTTCAATGCACCATGCAAATATTGGCGCACAGGTACAAGTTGAACTCGACTGTTAAGGTAAATAACATAGAGTAACAAATTCTACTTCAATGTTATGTAATTACAAAATATTTTTCAACTGAAGTGGCCAACACTATGCAAATATCGGCAAACGGGTACATGTTGAATTCAACCAATAGGTAAATAAACATAATAAAACAACATTCTGACGTAAGTGGCCAACACTGCAAATATCGGTGCAGAGGACATCTTGCTCAACCAATAAGGTAGATAAACTTGATAAAACAAAATTCACTTTCAAAGCCTGTTTGGGAGTGATTTTGAGAATTGATTTTTTAATCGTTAGGAGAAAAGTGGGGTCCACTTGTGAGAGAAGAAGTCAAATATAACGGCTAAAATACTGAAATAGTGAAATAACGGTCAAAAAATCAATTTTTTGGGAAGAAAAATCGCTCCCAAACAGGCCCTCAATATTTTGTAATTACATAATATTTTCTGCTTTAAGTGAAAACACCATCCACACACAGGTACACGTTGAACTCAACCCAAATTATTAGCAACAGCTTTATATGTATGGCAGCAAAAGGAGGATAGGAGAGTCGCATAACAATTTGAGAGAGTAAATATATAAACATAAATTCCATCAGCGAGAAGACCTCTTTCAGTTATCTCATTATTAAGCAAAGAAACTCAATTTCACCTATCTTTTGACCACTTGCATGCAGAAGACGGGCTTTAACAAGCTCAAATTTTACACACGAGAATACAAGTGAAGAAAACTTGTGAAACTCAAATTAATTCACGTACAATGAAAATTCGATGTCGAATCAGATCACAACATCAAGTAAAAAATGAAATCCTGAAACTCCACCATAAAATTCTAGAATCAATACATATAAAGCTTCGGCTACAAAGAAGAGAGCTGGATTTCAAATCCAAAAAAATAAAATTAATAATAAATAAATGACGGATATTGGTTCAATTGTAGGTCTAAAATACAGTTTACCAATTCTTCAAATTTTTACTCACCTGCATGGAATTGTTAGCGTTTGGTGACTTGTCTTGAGTGCCCATGAGAGAAGCTTATCCGGGGAAGTTCGTGGAATTCACGGTACGAAAAGCCCAGATTGAATTAGTTCACAGAAACTTGGAATAAAAATTAGGGTTTAGAAACAAAGCATATTTTAACGGAAAAAATAGTGAAAGTTATGGTGTGGCACAGTTCGGGTTTCAAATTCGGATCGATTGAAAAACACTAATCGCTATTAAAACTATTTGAGTGAACGAACCTTCCATCGCCCTCTGTATAATTGTCTCACTCTTTATCTTTCCCTGTGAAATATTTTTCTTCCGAGAGCCTGCCTGGCCTTTGAAAACCAGTATTTGTCAAATGATCATAATACCCTCGGTGTAAATGTAGAAATAACGAGCAGTGCCACTAACCTTGATGTCTACTTATCTAATATTCACGCGCCTTTCAATCGCGTAATAACCTGTATGTGCCTCATGACAGAATCAGCAATAAGTCTGATTGTACTTCATCATTTATAGATCACTTCAGTTTTGGTCCTCGCTCTTAGACTTCATTTGGCAATGTCCAATGTACCGACTACAATATTTACTTGCTCACTATTGACATAATTCGAACTTATTTGACAAATTTTAAATTATAATTTAAACTCGTAAAATATTATTTTTATCTACATATTTTTAATTATATTTATTTTTCATACATTTTAATGAAGACTAACTTATTTATTAATCATTTGATTTTTGGTCCTCACTTTTAGACTTCAATTGGCAATGTCCAATGTACCGACTACAATATTTACTTGATCACTATTGACATAATTTGGACTTATTTGACAAAATTTAAATTATAAATTAAGCTCGTAAGATATAATTTTTATTTACATATTTTATAATTATATTTATTATTCATACATTTTAATGGTTCCAAAACTTATAACCACTTAAAGTATTACCAAATAAATCCACAAATTTTTAATCATGTAGTAGTTTTAATTTTATAATATTGGATAGAAATTGAATGCATGCAAAGTATTTCAACTAAACCTCTATTTGGTAGGAATTAAAATCAAATTTTTAATAACTTTTGATAGAAGTTGATAAAATATATGATTGAAAATTTGTGAGATCCATAAAATGTGTGATTGAAATTTATTATTGAATTTGACTTAAATTAAAATATATATTTTAATTTCAACAAACAGTGGGCTAAATGTATGCAAAATATATTTAATTTTCAATTGAGAATAATAATATAATAATTTGACGAGAAACTAGTGAAAAATAAAACATAGGAAAAAATAATAAATATTTTATTAAATGCAATCATTGTACATTAAGAATATAAAGTAAGTTTGAGTCAAAAACACACTATTTTAAGAAGTTGAGACATAGTCTTTTGAAACTTATTTTTAAGCATTTACCTTTTTAAAATAAAGAGCATTCTTTATTTAGAGAATCTTTTAGAGATGCTCATAGAAATTTTTACACTCTAAATTTATAGATGCTATCTAAATTGCTCAATAGGTTCTTTTAACATAAAGAGTTTTCTTGGAGGTGCTCTTAGTAAAGACTAAAGAGGTGGCGTTACAAAGTTTAATTATGTAATTTTGTAAATGTATAATATTGGATAGAAATTGAAATTGGTGTTTCCTTCATTAACCGCAGTAAATTTTTTGTCTGCTTAGAATCTCAAAGAGACTTTTAAACGTAAGATTCCTCTATTTTAAAGAGTCAACATTTAAAATTATAGTCTAAGAGATTTTTCAAATTAACATTTTAAAATAAGAAGTGGATACAATTAAATGTATTCAAAGTATTTCAATTTTCGATAAAAGGAAATAACATAGTGCTTGTCTGGGTGTGTTGAAAAGCCATTTTTCGACCATTGATTCCATCAAATTAGAAGGTAACACGCCGCGCAACTTACGTTGGAAATTCATTCTCTTAGTTGAATTTACATTTTTGTCCCTCATGCTTGTGATTTCATTGTTGGTTGTCATTATACATTTGACCAATTTCATACGAATTGCAGCCTTTATTCATGGAAAGTGGGCCCATATGAGACAGAAACATGTAACGAATAAAAATTTCTATTGGAAATTCATTTTATTTGAAAAGAAGATTTTCCCATTTATCTCAACTTACAACAATCACAATCAAAATATGGCACACACATAGAAGTACACCGAAAAACAACAATTTAACGATTACAGAAAGTGTTATACACGCGCATCGCTCACTGACTTTGTGCCAACCAATAACGAAAACCATCCCACTCGTTTCGTTGCACTTCAGGTACGTTCATTTCAGCTGCGACCAGTTCGTGTTCGTCCGATAGTTCTACCTCCACTGCGTCGGGGTCTGCCTCCGCTCTTGTGAATGCTTCGTCGACAACTTTTGCCCATCGGAGGAAGTTGTGAATGCCCATGTAGCTACGACAACTGCAATCTGTACTTTAAAATTGTAGCGCGGTATACGATTCAGTATTTTTCATCGACTTTTTCAGACACCAAATACCCAGTCAATTACGTTTCTACATTACTAGTGCTTGAAGTTGTATTTCTCACACGCATTGCAAAATTTCTCCTGCAACCCGTCCAAGCATCATAAAACTGCTGGAAATGATACAATATATCGGACCCCTTATATGGAGCCATATATCCAGGTTTATGGGCAAATCCCGAGTCCACAAGATAATATTTTCCTGGAATAGGCAGGGAAAAATCAATTTTGGAACTGTGTATAGCATGCGCTAACATGTGTAAATCATGCGTTGTCCCCGTAAAACCCACGAGCACAAATGTAAAACATAGGTTGAAATCACATGCTGTAAGAACATTTTATATCGAAATTCCTTTGCGTCTAATAAAGTCCACACGTTCGTCTTGAGGCAAGACAGCTCTAACGTATTTTCTGTCAATCGTGCCAATGCAATCTTGGAATAATGAATGCTTGTTCCGATATTGTACATGATGCTTAGCACCCTAATTGTAGTTCGGATCTGGTCTTATCAGATGAGCACCGAATTCAAGAGCTGTTTGCAGCACAATCTTGAAGTAGTAGCCAATCGTTTCCAAAGAATGATTGAATAGCGTCTGAATCTGTAGTTACCCTTTTTCCATACGCTAATATGCATAGAAACATTCAAAACTTGTTCTTACATGTTTACTTGCTGGCAACTGCGCAGTTTGTATTCGTCCCACAGTATATGTGTAAAATCGTCGTAGCATGGTTGGGTACATCCTAAATTTTACGTAGCACTGTTGAGGACTACATTTCATCGCATCGAGCATGAATATATAGCCGTTTCTCGCGAACTGACTAATCCAGTATCTCTATTGACGGTAGTAGTTTGCGACATCAATTTTCAACATTCAACAGTAACGAAACCACTCAATAATGTCATCTGGTAACAGTTGCACGAATTTCGCTTCCCCAACCTCATCTCCATTATTAGAAGATGGCATAAGTACATAATTGAAATTGAAACGCACCACTGTACCTCTATCACCTTATTGGAAAATTCCCTAACTACTTTGGGATAAAACAAAGATTAAACAAGCAACCTCTACTTGTCCCCAACTTCCTTCAGGAATGCACTAGACTAGAAAATGTTCCCTTTTATAGATTTTGTCAACACTTCAATCATATTAGAGCAGAAAATGTTGTTCAAAAACGAGAAAAATGTGATGAGATTTTTCCTAACTATTAATGATAAGTCTATTGGTGCGGTTGTCAGTGCTTGACAATTTATTTTGGGAAAGGTTGAATAAGTCCAACAAACAAGGGGGTTGGGGAGCCTTGGAAAAGTACAAAGTCACACATGTAGATGTGAAAGAGGTGTAGTTGATAGTACATATATGGATACATAGTACATAACCCCAAATTATAAAGCAGTGAGGCAGAGTAAGTGTAACTGCAAAGCAGTGAGGCAGAGTACGTGTGACAATATCCCAAGCACAATTTCGAACCGACAGTTCCATCCGAGTAATATGCATAACGTGAAAATGGGATTCCCGTGAGATAAAAATAGACGCTGAATCACAATTACAGTTCATGAGCCCGCTCAGAAATAATAAATATTACATAACAGAAAGTAAAGGACATTCCACTCGATGATGACTTAAACTTGGTGTAGCGACAAAAAAAAAAAAACTTTTAAAATGCTAAAGGTTATGAAATGCCAAAAGACTTTGCATTTATTTCTCACATAAAATACATTGAAATGAAATCTAAACAATTATTCTCTTAAATGCTCAATGAAGGGCTACCAACATTTTTTTAAAGGCCAATTGGATTTTACATTTCATTTCTTCCAAGTCATTTATACCCTCAATTTATACATATACATAAAATTGTTTGCCCCTTTTTCATAGCCTAAGGCACCTTGAATCTGAAATTTTTCTAAAGAGAAGGCAAATAGTATGCTAAATTTTTACATATTGAACACAAAAGGGTATTCAAACATTAAGTATTAAGGTAGGGATGATCTCGGCACTTGTGTAAGTGGTTTAAGAATTATTTATTTTCGTTTTGAATCAAACTTATTGTTGTGTCACTCATGAAGGAGGCACCGTTTGGTGGCTCAAATGAGAGAAAGAGATTGAAGGTGACACTATTGTTGTGTTACTCATGAAAGAAGCACCCTTTGGTGGTTCAAAATAAGAGAAAGAAATTGACGGTGAGACGAATAATCAAAGTTTGCATTTCTGAAAACATATATGTATTTTATCATTTACTCTAGTGTCTTCCTACTGAGTATTGTTCGTAGTACTCACACCCACTATAATCTCATAGGTTGATTTGAGGCATGGCGGCGATTTGGCATAGTGGAAGTGTTCGGCAATCTGAAAAGCTTTCAACTTTCTAGTAAAATTTCCAATTTATGTCAACGTATTATGAATAATTAGACGATACTTTTAAAGATATTTAAACATTTGTTTCGTTCAATTTTATACGTTATTCACGTCAACCATAATTTGGAAACGTTGGTATGTCTATGACCGAAGTTTATTCACTGGTGATTATAATTTTAGATTCTATCTTCCATTTGAAAATGGTATAATTTGGGCTACGCTGCATATTTTAGAGTAAAATCAATAGTGTTTGAAAGATCTATGAGTCTTCTACTAGTAGCATTTGGAATTTCCTTAAAACATTATCTCGAGAAAAAGTTATATCCATTTTGGTAAACTGTACGTTTTAAATCCGAGTTTTCTGCTCAGCAGTTTCGAGCAATATTTTCATGCTTCAATCATTATCATCAAGCCCCCAAATTTTTATATGTGGTACATATATGAATACTTTAGTCCCTGTAAAATTTCATAAATTTTAAGAAATATTTG